TATTCAGTCATTGGTGGATATTGTAAAAAACAATTCCAGAGTAAAGATGTAGAATATTGTATTAAATTTATTTGTTGTTCAACCAATTTGTCAAATGCTGAAAGACAAAAGGTAATGGCAAAAGTCTCATAGTCAGAAAGAACTACATGCAAAGTGATATACCCATAATTCCTTTCAGTCTTTGAATGACCGATCACCTATCGCCTGATGACAATCTTTTTTGAAAAAGGTGTCTGCCCTAAGCCAGACTTGAGCTCACTATTTCAGTTTACTAGTCCGACACCTGCAGTATCGTTACCATTATTTCCAAGGATCCAGTACCATCAGGTATCCCAGTTACCTTGCTCACAGGGTCTAGTTTATCATATAAACACAATAGCCCTTTACTGAGAAGAAAAGCCGACTTCATTAATGTGAATCGACAATCCCCGAATAACAATCGCCGAGTGCGTTGGCGCTAACTCTTAAGATGGAAAAATGCGTTGAATCATGATTACAAAAGCAACAATTGTCGTAATTTTCAATTTACAAAATTCTCATTTATTGACTTTGTCCTTACCAACAGAAGAAGTCTTTCAGGTAAACGGCCAAAATCGGCCTGTGACAAATCTTCCAGTTGTCGATTTTCATTCTCAGCCGAGAGAAATGCTGACATCAAAGCCACGCAACTTTCGGTTTTTCTTTTAGTATATTGGTTTTCTTCCCCTTCTAGGAAAGTTTGAACCTCACTGTCTGTCAGCGATACGGATTTTTTAGTGTTTTAGCCGCCATAATTCAAGAAAGCTCCAACAAACAACTTGTATTTAGAATCGTGAAGTCTTTGCCGTTCATTCATCAACCTGACCGAGTGGCGCCAAAGGCGAGTGATGTGTCAGCAGCTGATTGGCTGTATCAACACACGTGAGAAAGTACGATATTTTTTCACGTGTGTTGCCACCGTTTTTCTAAGGGCCGGAAATCCATGTATAACACCGCAGTTTATGTGATAAACACTAATTTCGGATATTTCTTTTTGTGGGGAAAAAGATCTCACTCATTTTTTATTTCTCATTTTTTTTTGAAGAACAACTTTTATTTGCTGATAAAGTTCTTACATTGCATCGCACAAAGTGCACTCATGGAAAGAAGATGAAGTGGACAATAAAACAGAGGTCGTTTGTGGCTTAATGATCGACACAAACTGTTACCCAGGAACATAATAAATAAGGACGAACACGTTCTCTTTAGTCCTTTTTTTCAGACCTCATTACGATGTTTTCAATTTTTCGTGTATACAACTCCATGCAATTAATTACCATTTAATTCATGCTTGCTGGCACGGTTGACACTCACAGGGGTCAGCAAAATAGAGAACCAAGAAATTGACTGTACGTATTGAAATATTTAGAAAAGAAAGAGTTTAATTTTATCTTTAGAGAGCCAAGGTCTGCGATACCGGGGGTAATGCCACTGACCATGGTTTAACACTCCGATTCCTCCTAATCAGAGGAACCAGATGAATAAAACGTCGGCGGAATTTACTGTGCAAAATTCCGTAAAGCATTGGATTAAGGAAGAACGATATTTTGGCAAACACGCTACAGGCACTCGTAGCTATGGGGTTAATTTTTTGACCAATAGCCAAAAGAAATGCAACCGTGACGTAAGGCAACCATGGGATCAAAAATGCGGCTACGATGGCGAGAAAGTACATGGCAGATTTGCGATGCCTTTTCATGAGAGCTCGAGAAGCAGTTATTGTTATTCCCCCCCTTCGTGAGGTGTTTACAACAATTAGTCTAGATACTCGATGGATCTTGTAGTAGCATGATACGATCACGAATAAGGGAAGAAAGAAGCAGGATACGATAACAACTCCAAAATATGCCCGATCACTAAAAGCAGATGACTCCCACTGAACTGAACATGTCACATTGATCCCCTCTAAACCATATGAGGACCATCCTAACAAGGGTGGCACACTGAACATAAGAGAGTAAATCCACGAACCCACAATTAGCAATAATACGTTTCTCTTGTTGAAATATGAATCCTTTGAAAGAGACTTGGTGATTGTTAAGTACTTTCCCAATGAAATTATCGCCAAGTGAGTGATTGAGACGAGAGCGAGAAGAAAAATCATGAAGGCATGGACCTTGCAGCCAGTTTTACCGAGTGGCCAGTCTCCCTGGAAGTGCCGCGCGATTGCAAGGGGTACAGCCAACGCACATGAGAGGAAATCACACACCGCCATACTTAAAATGAAATAACTTGGGGCTGAAATTTTACGATTGGTATTTTTACCAAAAGTAAAGATCACGATTCCATTCAAGACAATTCCTAGTAAGCACGCGAAACTTTCTGTAAACACGAAAATTGTGCTCCATTTGTCAAGAAGTACCAGCTGGTTCATATTTCTCGCCTGTATTGTCACACTGTAGGATTATTACTGTCAGCTACAAGTGCACATTTCTATGAGCTTAGCGTTTGAACAATGTACCTGAAATCATCTTCTATCAACTATAGGGGTTTAGAAATTAGATTTTTCTCACCATAGCAAGTAGAGGCACAAATGATATCCCCCTCAGAATTTAAAGAGAGATATCACTAGCTCTGACTTTACAGACGGAATGAGAGAAACGGCTTTATCCCTGTCCAATAATCTGGTTGTATTTCACCTGTTTCTTATTAGTTCCGCCGGCAACGAATTCATTCAGTTTTCTTAATTGTTGTCTTGTCTGGTATCAATGGGCTAAAGGAATATTGCACGAGATATTTTAGGATCTTGGGAAAAAAAATATTTAATCATATTGTGCTCAGTTGAACTCTGGACTCAGTAGTACTAACTGTGACAATGCTGTTATAATTATGCTGAGAAATCAGAATAGACAAAAGTGAGAACAGTCTCATGATCAAGCGTGGGTGTGTTTATATATCAGTGTTAATTCTTTCGTGCCATAATTTTTTGAAGCATAGTAGGGGAGCCGGAAGAACCCCGAGCGATTGAACCTATTGCCTCTTGAAGCGATATATATATATTTTTTGTTCAACTGCACTTAGTAGGGTACAAAAAACGCGCGAATAGAGTATAAAGATCCTACGATATGGTTATTTGGACAGTTGGTTATTTTGTACTGTAAAAAAACCTGTTTAACTAGTCGGCTGCACACGCTACGCTTCTCTATCCTCTTTGCTTTTCCCGCCTTATGAGAAATGAGCAGAAAGACTTACGGGCTCGTCAAAATACGGCACAACTCTTAAAAATACTCAGCGATACTACACATCAAAACGTCTAATAAGATATATACATTTAATGTTTGTATTTCCAGCTTTTGTCTGTCTGGAGATTATCTTACCTTTTGCATAGAATAATTTTAAAAATTTTTTCGTGGCTTTCAGTTTGCCAGTCTAAACGAAAAATTGCTCCCCCAAGGCAAGAGAAAACCACGGAAACGAAAATGGTAAAGCATCTTTAACGATCCTTTAAGTTTGATATATCACGCTTTTCTGAGCTAAACATTGAATAAATGTGATATTAAAAACAAAGCGGAGGACTATCAAATCAGTATTAGGATATATTCTGGACCTGATTATCATACTTTACAATTTGCCGCTGGTTTTCCGGAGGAAGATTCGAGATCAACGGTTCGAAAACGCATGCGCGCTTAATTAAACCATCAATGGGAAACCAGAAGTGTTTCCGCTATCGGATTTCTTAAGACATGCCGCAAGTCCTTAAATAAGCGCCTTCCAACAAAATAAACACCCCGCAAAATCACTAATCTCACCCTTTTTCCCTTCATTCTTATTAGTGACTACAGGGGATTTATTTTTCTTCTGTATTTGAATATTCTTTTACAATTTTTTGAGAAAAGTCCTCGTTTTTATTCCTTGAAGCGGACAAAAAAGTTGCAAAATGAAAACTAAATGGGTGTTCGCTAACAGGCAATTTTTTTAGTCCAATTTAGAGAGTGAAATTATCCACAAATTTGTTTGCTCTCTGACAGTCCGTATTCTGTAACCTGGGCACAAATTAAACAATGATCCACACTCAAATTAACATTTCTCAGTTCTTCCCGGTTATGTAAATAGATGTTTGATCCAAGATTCCGGTAATAGCCAATAATCTAAAAACAGAATGCCATATAAGCTATCAGTTCGAATGTTATAAGACATTTGATTTCTCGAGATAATTTTCTTGACGTAATCTTCTCCCCAAAAAGTAGCCAAACGTGTTACCGGTTGCCCACAATAATGATGTCAGTTTTCCGTGATAAATAAACCTAAGGAGTTCTTTAGTAAAAAAAATATCCTGAATATCAATGCTTACAATGCTGTGTACTTAACAATTTTGCGATACTACACTGCACAGGGATCGCTTTATACACTGCAACTAGTCATACAACAATGAAAAACTAAAATGAAAAAAATAGGGAATTGAGAACTTGTGGCCGTTGTTAGAGGGTTATAGTAGATTAACTTGATAACGTGGGATTAGCTCGTTCATCATTTTTGTCGTATGTAAGTTTTGTGGAAATGTAATATCGTGATGCCTGTCTACGTTGGCCCAATGCAATCAACTCCACTTACGTCACAGTAAAAGGAATTTCAAAGCTGTCCGCATAAATCTCACATAACTCTAAATATTCAAAATTAGTAAGACGCATCCGAAAAATCTTGCACCAATACATAATTCATCAGGGTTGGAAGTCACAACACTCTTTTGCGACTGAAATGAAAAAAGGCAAAAAAGAGAAAAACTAGACGTTATGGAAAATACAAACCAAATTAAGTGATGTTAAATAATTTAACTGTGGTCTTCGAACTTATAAAGTTGTAGCTCGTTTATTTTGCGTTTTGGAATATTAAGTTTGAATTAATGCAAGCGGGTTTCAATGTCAAACCAGAAAGCGACGTTAGCTTTCACTCCTATTTTTTGCATTATGTTCATGATTATTCGCAAGTTGCGAACACTATCAACGATTGCGTTCTGTGTTTTTACCATATATGCGATGATCAACATGATAATATTTTTCGAAACTGAGGAGTCCGCCAAAAGAGGTACTGCAAAAGGGTTACTATGTTTAATGTTTGTAATCGAGGAAGATTTCTGTTTACTGAAAGCTAGTTTCTTACTTTTCTTAAAAGGAAAGGAAAAACTTATTGCTGAGTTATTTCCTTCTATGTTTGAAGTCCTCAAAATTTTATAAACAGCAATCACGAAGTTTATTCATTTATCAATTATAAGTGTTTCTTCATATCATCTCAGATTCCCTATTGAAATATCTAGTTTTTCCTGAAATTTTCAATGATAGATTATATTTCAACTGTTTTCCTTAATTTTTCAATATATTTCAGTTCTTCGCTTCCACGAGGCCTTAGATAGAAATTGGATGGCAGATGGAGAAAAAAAGGTGACTTCTTAATTCTTTTGTGTGAAAATAAGAAAATTGTTCTCTTTATTTCTCGCTTCTTTTGATACGATATGATTAATTGATATTTTCTTTTTGACATTCTCTTAAGGAAGACATATTGCATTCAGGGATTGAAGAGAGGCAACGTGACTTGAGACGGCGTCTGATCAATTATTGTCGGGCAAATAAACACAAACGTGGTTTGCCAAGCTTGTATCGCTTTCAAGTGATCGAGTCTCCTCCCATCGTCTTCTGCATGGTCCCTAGAATAGCAAGTCGTCAATGGAGGGCCACATTTAAGCAACTGAGACAACAAGCAGGGCAGAGGTTGTCAAATCTTGATCAATACGTCTTCACAGATGTTTGGAATTACCTCCATAAATCATACAAGATCATGTTCGTCCGAGAACCTTTTGATTGGTTATTGTCAGCTTACAAGGACAAGTTTGCATCTACGAGAACAGTGGATCGATACATGCTGGAGACGTATGGCAGAAAAATCATCAGAAAGTTCCGTCCGAATGCCACCAAAAGAGCTCTGGAAGTGGGCGATGACGTTACATTTCCGGAATTCATAGAATATATTTTAAAGGAAGGCATACATGAGCAACTCAACTGGCACTGGAATACTTACGATGACCAGTGTAGGCCCTGCAGCGTGGACTTCAACTTCATCGGTCGCTTTGAGTCCCTTGCCCGAGACGCACGATATGCGTTGAAGAAAGCTGGAGTTTTAAATTTCACACAATTTCCAACAAACAGTAATTATCCTAAGAGGAGAGACGAACTGATAAAGCATTATTCTCAGATCCCGCCCGAGTGGATTATGGAGTTGGGTCGTGTTTACCGAAGCAGTTTCGAAATGTTTGGGTATCCGTTTCCAGGTCCTCTCAAGGTCCTTTTAAAAAACGACACTGGTCAAACGGGAAATTCTGGTCACTCTGGAATTGCAGGTCAGACTGGTAATCCTTAAGGAGTCGTTTACCTTATTTTCTGAACCAGCCTTAACATTTCACTAGCAAGAGTTCTGGATAAGAAGTACATGTAGCTACGAGCATGTTTCTTTTATCGTTAAGAAACCAAATCTTCCCCCAAACATAGTCTTCCCTAAGCCTCAAAGCATTTCATTCGACTACGTTTGGCCTAACTATTTACAAGAAACTATTAACATTTTCTTGATCACTACTTAAGAGTCAGCTTCCCGGTGGTAGTTCACTACTCAAAGGTATTTTTTAATCAACCACAAGAAAGCATCGTGTCTTTTCAAAGCAGCTTAACGGTTCACTCGTAACTCTCTAAGGGAGGAAAAAGTTCGACGGTCAAAATGTCACGTTCGTAAATTGCGACGGCTGGATTTAAATTTCTATCGAGACCATGATCACTGGAGAGAAAGCGAAAGTTGCGCTTTGAACTTCAGTGTTTACCCAATATTGAAAAGCACATAAATCTCAGTCACTTACAACTCTTACTGATAACTTCACATCGAGCTTGGAATCCTCTATAGCTGGTGAGGGAGTCTGATCTAAACTGCGGCATCCACAGAGAGCAATCACTGAATGTAATAGCTGAAGCAGAGTTTCTACAATAGGTTTCCTTCTGTAAACTTATCGACGAGGAACCATCTCAAACCCACCCTCGAGTTTAAAGGTGTCGAAGGACAGTCTGATTCTTTTCCTTGGATGGTGCAGTAATCTTCTAAGTGCATATCATGTTAAAAGGATAGTTGGTTAAATGGTCTGGACTTCTGAATATCCCTGCGGAGGAACTGCTCAGCTCTAAATTGTTCGAGAGCACAGTTGCCCCGACGAACGAACTGGAGAAACGAATAGGCCGTAAGGTTAGTAGGTGCTACAAAACAGCGTGAGTTGTTTGAGAACTTGAGAGTAAAGTTGAGGAACTTGAGCTTATTTGTAAAGACGTTTGTTAGATTAGACCGACCGGCATGTGAATTTAAGTAAAGAATTATATTTCGTTAATAACGACCAAGAACGTGCTGGTGGGATATCGAGCTAAAAAACAACCATCTACCAAACTCGATTTTAAAAGACTACGAGTTCTCTTATCAATTAGTTACCCAGGGTTACAGCTCTATACTTAGCTTGGAACTTCCTCGTTGAAGGAGAATAGTCCGAGTCACCAACAAACTCGACGAAAAGGTACTTGTAACTGAAGATAATCACCTTCTTCCACCAAACCTGCCAATCAAATTCGCCGTCGCGAACCTCCACGTAGTCATCTGTATGAGTAGTTTTTACTGCCGATGAAACGATCGTAGGAATAGTAACTCGAAAATGATCTTTTGTAATCTACGCAAACCAGGAGTAGACCAGAGGAGAATAACGTTTGTTAAGAATCTATAATTAAAAGAAAAATCTCATTAAAACAACTACCTATTTCTGGATTTTTATGGGCAACTTAACCGCGATTGATCTCGAGAGGCAAATATCCCCTAACGAGGATTGAAGAAATCACAAGGAAAAGACATCTTGTAGTAATACTTACGACGAATTGCGAATATCGAGTGGCAAAGGAAAAGTAAAAGAGGTAACTGATTAGTCTAATTTCTGATCAGCCCAACGACCTCCATCGCATTTACCCTTTACTAATCTGCATTGATAAAAAGATGGTTGATAAAAATTTAGTGGTTTCGGCGATTTTTTGCGAAATGTTGCAGTTCCTAACAGACTCAGATGCTCGTTCAAGATTTTAGGAAATGCATCACAGGCAGTGCGAAGAATCGATATCGTGACCATTTTGCTGATATATTGATACTTGCATGCGTAAAAAGATACACATCACACCATTTTTTTAACTCCTCAGGTGTAACAGTCAATTGGGAAGCCTGACTGGCTTCCCAATGAGTGTCGTCTTCAACAAGGTAGTTGTCGTTTTGATCCGGTTAGACAGGTTTTCAATAAAAACTAGTTACCGGCGTTTTATGGGCTCTCGTGCCTCCTTCTATCACCGGCAGTTTAATCCTTTACAGCCTAACATCAGTATGCATATTTCCCTTTCTGTTCCTTATACGTTTCCTTGAGTGCTGACAAGGAGAATTTGTATAACAATCAAGAGCTTCTTTAGTTGGAGATCATTTTCTTTATTCTCGTAACCTTTATGTGTGATTAAGGTGTGATAGTGTAAAGAGAAATTATATACTTGTTACTCTTAGGAGTCAAAAGGGTTAACCTGCGAGTAAGCTCTCGTGTTTTGGTTTCGTGGGCATTGCTGCCTATTACACCATCTACAGACACTCATGAAAAAAGTTATGTTGAACTCCCCGGGATAGCTCTTGTCTTATCTTTCAGCCCTGGTTTTAAAGATGTCAGTCTCTGTCGCCTGGATCGTGTTATACCACACAAACACCTCTAATTATTCATTTAAAAGATGAAATAATAAGAAATCAAATAACAAACAAACGGATAAAAAAAGAAGAAAAACAAAAAAAGGTAATCAAAAAATGACAAAGACAAAAGTAAAAAAGGAACAAACCAATGATAAGTAAACGTAGTTTACTGGGGTGAGTTAAATATGGAGCAACGCCATCGTTATTAATACACAGTAAATTTGCACACATGTAATTCAAATTGTTAAACATTTTTTCAACCTAAAAACCTTAATTCTAATTGATTTAAATGAATTGAACAAATCAAATTTGTTTCCCACACAGCTCATTCCTCACCCTCTGAGTGCCCTCCCGCACATAAATTCTTTACTGTACAAAAATTTAATCTAATTATAAAAAAGCCTGTGCGCTTCGAAGAATTTTTTTAACTCCTAAACTGATTTATAAAATTATTCAATGACTTCTAATTGTTCCCACCAATTGCGTAGCTCCATCTGTAGACAGTTGTTTCGAGAAAGGTTATCGGGAAAAGAGTGCACGCGACAATCTCGAGAGGTAACCTGGATATCTGGTGATATTATTATATTCATATATAACCACTATGCCTTTTCCTTACAGTGACGTTTTCTCCTAAAATTCTGAGGTCAAGTAACCGTGACTTAAAACCTACCTACAACGCCTTTCAGGGTTGTCGTGTGCACCTTTACGCTCTTACACAACCCATAATTCCTCTGTTCACGCTCGAAATTCTCTCCGGAGGCCAATTCACATTATCAACTCGGTTGATAAAAAAATTTCTTGTGATACCCTCACCGACGCACATACACCCCAAATCTTATCATCATCATCGTCGTGATCAACGTTATTATTATCGTAATCGTATTATTGTAATCGTTTAACTGATAAAATATAATTCGAGTATATATCAAAATCATGTTCGTAGAACTTATCAAAAAAATGGTAGAAAAATATTTTTTAAAAAAATATATAAACTCGACTTAATGCGCAAGAAAACGTTAGCACACAAGTTATAAATACCATTATTTTAATTATGTTTATCGTTATCATCTTGACGAATTCAACACTCTTATTAATTACCACGCCCCTCCAGAAGGAAGGTCTTTTTTAACCAATTGTCCTAAAGCGAACTTCGTCCCTGTGGAGAGTCGCTCCTGGTTCAACTCCTGTCCATCTTCAGACGTGCGAGGCATGGTAGACATCAGGATTGAAAGAGGAAGATTTTTCTCAACTTTCTGGCCATTTTCAAGCACAGTGGCTCTGTCAAGTTGGAGATAGAAACATTTTATGAGATTTTCACGCACACTGTAGAATTTTTACTCAACTCATTGATTCATTAATTTGCTCCGCGCCTGTTCCCGAAGCTGCATCTGACAAACATCTCTGCAAAAGTTTCTGCACAACAACACACGCGTCTACAGTACGTGTTGCAGCTCTGATAAACAAGACCTGCTTGCTTACTAGTTGTAAACCGAGAGGCCATACTTGAGTACTATAGGATCCATTTCACGCAACTAACTTAATATATCTTTGTGGTACTGGTCTTGACTGGCCAAAGTCATCACTTTGCACCACTTCTACAATAGTAGCATGGTCCACCCAAGCCGAAGCATCGAGCTCGTCTTTATCCAAGATAAGCTTCTTCTGTAAAGTTTGTCGGTCTTCCTTAGCCTTGGCCTGGTAGTACACTACGATATGGTGCCTCACAGGCAGACCAATCGACAGAACGGGAGGAAACACAGACTGCAAATTCACACAAAAAAAATTTACACGGTTGAGTATTCCGTCTGCCTACTGGCCTTTTACTGCCACGGCTCATCCAAGTTTCAATTTAGCATCAGTGACTACCAATATTGCTGCTACTCCAGGAAACCACCCTCCCAACCCTTTCCTCCCACCACCCTCTCCTCATAACCTTTTCAAGTGAGAATTCTTTTCACCCTTGTTGCTGTAGGAGTTTGTTTATCATGATAACGTGTGCATAGTTACACTTCAAAAGTGAGGTTTGGTGGTAAATAAGCCATGCGAGTCTGACATAGACATGCATAGAGGCAATTATGTGATAATCTTCAGTTCAAATATCCCCATTCTATGGCCATACGATAATTCAGTACTAGGTATACCACTTTGGGCATCTTGCAATACTTGCTTAGGCACAGATTAATCCACATTTTAAAATAAAAGCTCACTGTACAATAAGGACTGTACATCATGCAACTAGTATGAAGATAAAATGTATATACGATACCTCCCACAGACCAAGTGTTGAGATTTCGAGGCTTTCCTCAGAAAAAGTCAATCCAGTTTCCTCTGAGAGTTCTCTTAGTAAAGCTTGTTTAAGCTGTGAAAATGAATAAATTGATAAAAAAAGTAATGATCTGAACACAGAAGTTAATTGACCATTGATTGTGTATAGCAGGGTGACCATCACGGGGAAGGAGGTCATGAGAATGAACTGTTGCCCTCTGTAGCATTGCATCACATTTAACAATCTTAACAACTCAAGAGTCTATGATGTGAGAATAACTTCCCAACAGAATGTCAAGATGCCAGAGTATTCATGAGCAACAATTTTTTAAGAGCTACACTCACCCAGACAATCACACAATGTGGGCAGTTAATTATTACAAGATTTAATTACATTTACAGGTATTAATTCAAATTAGAAAATTGCTAGACTATTCACATGTAACAAATTTTGTACATGTTACATATTAAACCTCATTGTATCAGATGCAATAAATTATGTATACAGTGTCTAACTTATTCAAGAAAATTATCCGCATTCTAAAACCATACACGATACTCTTTAAGTGTGCGTGCATGAGTAAAATATTCAGATCAAAATCCCAGCCTACATAATTCCCAAACGGAAATTGCTTCATAATATGGTCTCCCATCTTAGAGCATTTCTGTTCCTCTTTTTTTGGTTTTTCTTTATTCTTTATCTGTCTGTTTGTCTGTGTTCAACCATCTAATCATTTGTCAGTCTCTCTGTCTTACCATCTAATCATTTGTCTGTCTGTCTGTCTGACCATCTAATCACTTGCCTGTCTGTTTTACCATCTAATATTTGTCTGTCTGTCCTTCTGTCTGATCATCTAATCATTTGTCTGTCTGTTTTACCATCTAATCATTTGTCTGTCTGTTTGACCATCTAATCATTTATTCATCTTTCTGACCATCTAACTATTTGTCTGTCTGTTTGTCTGACCATGTAATCAGTTGTCTGTCTGTCTCTCTGTCCATTCATCTGTCTGCCTGTGTCTTTTTGTGTTGTTCACTGTGTTTGCTTCTTTTTTTTTGTTTCCTTTATTTTTTTATTACTCAACCACAATTAAAGTAAACTTACAGTCTCTCCTGGCTCCAAATGACCCCCTGCATTAAAAAAACAAAACAAAAAAAAAGATAGTATAAACATAATTTATCTATCAATCATGCAAAATGCTTGCAACATCAGGTCTACAACACATACAATATTCTGTATATACAATACAACAATATTCCCCTTGTTAATGGCTTCCTTTTCTCTTATCGCCTTTCTGCTCAAAAATGTATTGACACTGTAACAAGAAATTGCTCCATGGCCACTCCTGAGGGTGAGAGTGTAAGGGTCCACTCTTTCTTCATTAGCACAATACATGCTCTGAATTCAGTCAGCATCATCTCCAAGCAAGATTCTACAGGTGAACTCTACATAAATGTTCTGTGCTTCATATTTCATCCCTGGCATTTTGGATCTTTACATTACTTAGATTATTATTTCTGTTCTAAGCTGAACTAAAGTAAGTGCAAGTTCTATCACAGGTCAGTGAGAAAGCAATCTCTTAAGAGTTATACAGTTGTACTAATGCAAAATACACTGTATCATCTGATTGAGTTAGAAAGCTTTCTCTTTAATGCAGTCTTGCCTTAATGTAAAATATATTTGTTCATTTACCTGGGGGAACCCACACACATGGAAAGGTGCGCATGTGTTGTGCACGTCTTGTCAGCAACACATAACCATCTGATGACTGAAGCAAAACAGCAACTGCTGGTTTCACTCCTTGACTCAGGATATTTTCTGGAATATTAGCAATGTCTGAGGCTGTCAAAAAACGGCAAGGGCATCCAGGAGGATGCTAGAGGGAAATTAGAACAGAAATATCATGTATATAATTGTTTACTCTATAGGTACAATAATAATCCTTTTAGTTCATGCTCCAGTCTTTATCCATGGTTTCATAACTCAGTTGGCCAAATAAGTATCTGGGAGGCAAGTGTTCAAATCCTGCCTTCAAAGCCTGAATTTTTTCAAGCTTCTTGTATGAAATAACCAAAATTGGAGCTCACCTTCAAGGATCACCTCTTGACTAAATCCTTTTAGCATTAATTTCATAGAAAAATGAATGTTTTGATACACTATAGTTCAGTATTTCTTATTTTCTTTGTTTGATACTTTTTAAATACATCTTACTAACTGAGTTTGAGGTCAGTATTGTAAGTTATGGACCATTAGCTTTTTAAGCTTGGAATTTTACATGGCCCAACAGTGAAGCAAGAAAATGTAGTTAAATAAAGGGAGAAGATTTTATTTCAAACAAACTTTCAGATTTAAAGAACCACACAGTAAAATACAAGCCACCTAAAATTAATCAAGCATAGCACACATACTAGCTGAAAGCAAATAGTGTAATAATTCTTGTTAAAACATTTGTTTAATCAGCTTACATCACTCCACAAGCTTCACTCACTGGATTTGTTCTCAGTTGCTGCAAGTTCAAATCCTCAGCTACTTTTTTTTATAGCTAACTGGTCTGCCTCTGGCCAGTTGGCAATTTTCAAACACTCTGCCTATTTACAATGTCCATTTGTTTGTATTGGCCCTGAATAGGAGTGAATAGTTGATTTATGTTATCCTTATTATTATTATTATTATAATTATTATCATTATTGTTATTATTATTGTTATTATTATTGTTATTATTATTATTAGCAGGCTTGGGGTTGGTAATCAAAATTGATTATATCAATTAATTGCATCTCCTTGTTATTTGAGTATTCCATTATTCTTTATGTTACTGCACCTTGATAAGCTCCGAAACATAAGCAAAAAATTCCAGTTTGGTAATTTTTATTTTAGGCACTGAATACATTGACCACTAATGACTGCTATTGAAGTATAAGCCTTTTATTTGTATCGTATCATACAGATCTCATATGCACGATTTATTTAGTTATGCTCTCTAGAATTTATATTCATTTGTAAGTTTTCAATCACAGGTACTTAAGATTAGAGCAATATTATGTATCCAGCTATTTTACATCTATGTTGTTTTTTCCTGGTCTCTTGCTTGGCTTTGATATCAACTAACACATGAAACAAAAGCCTTTAATTTTGCTTGGGAGGCTAGCTGGTAACCACTACCCAAGTATTTGACATTTCAAAAAACACTTAGTCCAACAAACAGGTAATGAGAATATATATATATATCTCATTAAACATTTTGGTGAGTAGTACCACTGAATATTTTTACAAGCTGTTTCATATTTTGCCAAGCCCATAGGGCAAGTCAAAATACCAATAACAAGTACAGATACTCAGCAATACTACAAACCCAAAACATCTAATAAGTGATTTACTATCCAACTTCTTTATTTCATGTGCATTTCTTATAAGGCTGAAAAATGCAAAGCAGAAAGAGAAGCGCAGTATAAGCAGCCAACCAGTTAAACAGGTTTTTACTGTACAAAGTAATCAACTGTCCAAACATCACCTGATATTTGTGATGGTGAGTAAGATATTTGTACTATACTTAATACAGTTGGATAATCAAACTTATCAGGAGGAAGTTGTTAACTTGATCTAACACCAAATTCTCATAACTAAGGGATAACTGTTATCTCACCATAAGTCTTACTCCTTGATCACTGGGATACAGAAGCAGTCTTTCATCCTCGTACGAAAATTCTGCATTTATCTGTTGACCACTGCATTGCATTGTAGTCAAACAGCACTGATAACAAATGAAAAAACATTAACATGAACTCACTTTAAAATTGGCATATGTGTATCTACCTTTTTTTCAAGATTAAGATGATGAATATCAGACATGAGATTCAAGAGTCAGAGGGATTTTACAATTTTGATACATCTAGATGTTGATACACACCACAAAAAGTTTACCACATACAGCACACTCTCAATTAAATTTTTTTTTAGGATTTATAGATTCACATGGGATATTCAGAAAATTTGACAATTTTAAGAACTTTAAGAATTTTTAGACGATATTATGTAGAAAAATACAGCAAATAGCCAAAAGGTTTGTCCCCGCACGCTATCTGGGTTTATCCTCTGCTACTGACAATGTTTTAAAAAATAATCTAAAGGGGCAGCTGAAAAATATATTTCCCCATTTTTTTCGTTCGCACTCCTTATTAGATCTGGTTTGCTAAGAAAAGCGTACTCACATCGTTGATGTCTAATTTATGTACTTACTTTCTCGAACGAGAGAGGGGTCGCTCCCTCTGAATGGGAAGGACTGGATAGAAACACCCGTCTACTCATTTTGGAGGCCAAAATAATCGACCGCTACAAGATTAGGACGAAAACCATACGATTTTAGCTGTTTTTTCAACTTCCATGGACAATTGAATGATACTATCGTGTAGCTTGTGTACAGCCACCCCATTCCCTCTGAGATAAATTCGGGAAGGGACACGCAAAGTACGCGGTTGCTAAAGTACAGCGTTTCAATGCAGTTCCCGTTCAATCTCGAGCCCAGGGTCATCTTGGCTCCCTGTCAGCGGCATAATCACCAATCATATAGGTAACTCGTGTATGACAGTTATTATGTCCCAATACATGTTATGTCCTATACTTTACATACATATAATGTCCTATACTTTACATATAATATCCTACGTACACATACAACCATACACAGCTATACAGCACAATATAGAGCTACAAACAGCTATACAGGGCTATAAACAGCAATACAGAGCTATAAACAGCTAAACATAGCTGTACATAGCTATACAGGGCAATATAAGGCAATACACAGCTATAAAGAGCTATACAGATCTATACACAACTATAAAGAGCTATGCGCGGCTATACAGAGATATACACAGCTATATACGGCTATACAGGGCTAGACACAGCTATACAGAGCCATACATAGCTATACAGAGATATACGCAGCTATACAGGACAATACGCAGCTATCTAGGGCTATACAGGGCAATACACGACTATATAGGGCTATACAGAGCTATGCAGAGCTAATCACAGCTACAAAAGGCTGTACACAGCTATACATGGCTGTACCCAGTTATACACGGTTGTACAGGGCTATACACAACAATACAGAGCTATACACAAATACAGAGAGCTACACATACCTATACAGGGCTATACATAGCTATACACGGCTATACAGAGCTATACAGAGCTGTGTGCAGCTAAAAAAAACTATACACCCCTATATACGACTATACATAGCTATACAGGGCTATAAAGAGCTATACGCAGCTCAACAGAACTATACACATATATATAGGACTATACATAGTTATAAAAGGCTATACACCACTATACAGAGCTATACGCAGCTAAACAGAACTATGCACACCTATACAGAGCTACACACAGCTATACAGAGATATACACAGCTACACACGACTATACAAGGCTATACACAGCTAATGAGAACTTTACAGAGCTATACAGAGCTATACAACAGCTATAAACAACTAAAAAGAGCTATGCACAGCTATATAGAGATATACATAGTTATACACGGCTATACAGGGCTATACACAGCTATACAGAGCTATACATAGCTATAAAGATATACAAACAGCTATACAGGGCTATACACAGCTATATACGGCTGTACAGGTATAACAATATAATTATTGAAAGTAACGCCATTTCAATTCAACGCCCGAAGAAATTCAGGTGTTAACCTAGTTAGTTTATTCTTACTCTAGAAGAAACAAATGCCCACGCCCTTAATTTTACTTTTTATGTTCCTAATCCTTCGATTACAAACGTTTGATAGAATAGCAATCGGAATTTAATATTCCTTCTAACCTATTTTACACATCTCTGTTTAGCTGTGTATACCTGTGTATAGCTCTGTATAGCTCTGTCAAGCTGTGTATGGCTCTGTATAGCCCTGTATAGCCGTGTATAGCTGTGTATAGCCCTGTATAGCTGTGTATAGCTCTGTATAATCCTTTATAGCTCTGTATAGCTGTGCATATAGCCCTGTATAGCCTTGTATAGCCCTGAATAAGTGTGCATAGCTCTGTTTAGCTGCGTATAGCGCTGTATAACTGTATATATCCTTGTATAGTTATGAATAGTCCTGTATAGGTGTGTATAGCCCTTTATAGTTATGTATAGCCCTGTATAGGTATGTAAAGCTATGTATAGCCTTCTATTGGTGTGCATAGCCCTGTATAGCCGTGTCTAGCTGTGTATAGCCCGGTATATCTGTATGTAGCCCTGTAAAGCTCTGTATAGCTCTGTATAGCTCTGTATAGCTCTGTATAGCCCTGTACAGCCCTGAATAAGTGTGCATAGCTCTGTTCATCTGTGTACAGCCCTGTATAGCCGTGTATAGCTGTGTATAGCCCTGTATAGCTGTGTATGGCCCTGTATAGCTGTGTATAGCTCTGTATAGCCCTGTACATCCCTGTATAGATCTGAATAGGTGTGCATAGCTCTGTTTAGCTGCGTATAGCTCTGTATAGCTATGTATAGTCCTATTTTGTTGTGTATAGCCCTGTATAGCTATGTATGGCCCTGTATAGCTGTGTATAGCCCTGTACAGCCATATATAGTTAGGTATAGCCCTGTATAGCTGTGTATATCTCTGTATAGCTAAGTATAGTCCCGTATAGGTGTTCATAGTTCTGTTTGACTGCGTATAGCTCTGTACAGCTATGTATAGCCCTGTAGAGGTGTGTATAGCTCTGTGTATCTGTGTATAGCTCTGTATTGCTGTGTATAGCCCTGTACAGCTGTGTATAGCTGGGTATAGCCCTGTATAGCTGTGTATAGCCTTGTGTAGCTGTTTTTAGCTCTGTGTAGCTGCGTATAGCCCTGTATAGCTGTGTATAGCTTTGTATAGCTGTGTATAGCCCTGTATAGCTGTGTGTAGCTGTGTATAGCCCTGTATAGCTGTGTATAGCCCTGTATAGCCCTGTATAGCCGTGAATAGCTGTTTATAGCCCTTTATAGCTGTGTATAAACCTGTATGGCTTTGTATAGCCCTGTATAGCTCTTTATAGCTCTGTATAGCCCTGTATAGCCCTGTATAGCCCAAAATGAGTGTGCATAGCTCTGTTTAGCTGCGTATAGTTCTGTATAGCTGTGTATATCCCTGTATAGTTATGTATAGTCCTGTATAGGTGTGTATAGCCCTTTATAGCTATGTATAGCCCTGTTTAGGTATGTACAGCTATGTATAGCTCTATTTATCAGTGTATAGCTTTGTATTGCTATGTATAGCCCTGTATAGCCGCGCATAGCCCTGTACAGCCATGTATAGCTGAGTATAGCCCTGTATAGCTGTGCTTGCCCTGTATAGCTGTGTATATCTCTGTATAGCTAAGTATAGTCCCGTATAGGTGTTTATAGCTCTGTTTGGCTGCGTATAGCTCTGTATAGCCATTTATTGCCCTGTAGAGGTGTGTATAGCTCTGTGTATCTGTTTATAGCTCTGTATTGCTGTGTATAGCCCTGTACAGCCGTGTATAGCTGGGTATAGCCCTGTATAGCCGTTTATAGCCTTGTATAGCTGTGTTTGGCTCTGTTTAGCTGTGTATAGCTCTGTATAGTTGTGTATAGCTCTGTATAGCTCTTTGTAGCAGTGTATAGCCTTATATTGCCCTGCATAGCTGTGTATAGCTCTATTTAGCTATGTATAGCTCTGTATAGCTGTTTATAGCCCTGTATTGCGCTTTATAGCTGTGTATGGTTGCATCTAGTCTTGTTTTGCACTGTATGTGTGTGTAGGATATTATATGTTAAGTATAGGACATTATATGTATGTAAAGTATAGGACATAATATGTATTGGGGACGTAATAATTCCCCATACATGACATACCTACCCCGAATGGATACCAGGTAATTCTAGGTACGTCATGCATGGGGAATTTATTATATGCAAAGTATAGGACATCATATGTATGTAAAGTATAGGACATATGGATGATAATTTCCCACACATGACGCACTTACCCAGATGATGATTATCATTTGGCGACCATTCCGCTGACAAGTAGCCGAAATGACCCTGTGTTCGGGATTGGTTCCCATTCTGCTGATCTCATCACTCAAGTAACCTTCTCATGCGAGTGGATTGAGAGGGGGGAGGAAAGGTTGATTGTGTGGTTAGGACAAATTTATTTGACGCGTTTGCTTTTTTGAATGGAACAGGAAGCGTTAATTAAGATTTTCTTTTGTTGTATAAACAATTGTTTTTTGGTTCTAATATACAAATTAGTATAAGTAATCACATGATTTCGCAAATAATTTATTCAAATCCTGTAAGTGACATTTTGCGTTCGGTCAAGACGATCGCGTACTGAGATCAAAACAATAATATACGATGAAATTTGCACATCTTTAAGGCGCAAAAATGTTCAAAGTCCGGCTAAACAGTTCAAGGAATTGTTCAGTCTGGTTTGCTACTTCTTTGCACTGAATTAACCCTCTTCTGCACTGAATTACCTGAAAACTGTGTTTATCTTAACCAATCAGAACTGAGTGATTTTTCATATATCTTACTATAAAAGAGAAACTTTGTATACCTCCATTGCACGGATTTTCTATTTCTCAATTTCCCTCAAGAAAGAGGGATTTTGTTTGATAAACGCATGCATCAAGTTATCCATAAGTTTCTCAAACTGAGCATAATAGAGCCAATCCACAATTTTTGATCAGTGATAATTACCGGTAAACAAAGCCGATAGCGTTTTGGCCGAAGGGAAAATAGCCAGGAGAATTGGAATTTCTTGAAGGAAAACGATTACTTTGAAGATAGTGAATATATTCTTAAGCAGTAGACCACGAGTAAATTTTGTAAATCACGTAAGCAGAGGCCTCAGGGTTTCTCCATAGAAGGGTTGATTTCATTAAACAAATGTCCTTCCAGTTTTGGCTTTCGGACCTCTTGATACTGTTCATAAAAATAAAAGTTTAGATGAAAGTTTCGGCTAAGTTGAAGATGGCTCAGAACGCGGTTTTGTTAAACAACAGCAAAACTTTGCTTAAATAACCGGCCCGAATGTTTCACTTTTTATGGGTTCACTGGTGAAAGAAACGATAGGTGTTCAATCAGGGTGCTCCTAGTATCTCAGTTACTGATTTGAAAATCTCAATTGACACATTCTGTCATACGCTGTTTTCGCTACAGTTTGCCATCGAATACAAGCCGCTTGAATCTCCTCCTGTCCAACGAGCGCTCAACAGGAGTATCAGTCATCGATAAAGACTGCAGCCCAGAAAAGCAGTCCACTCGTAATAGCAGGCGGTGACATAATTCCAATAATTATTGGGTTTCTTCCATGTAACATATGTTTAACTCCCATATGGTCTAGCGGTAAGGATTCCTGGTTTTCACCCAGGCGGCCCGGGTTCGACTCCCGGTATGGGAACGACTATTTGCTCTTCATATCCTTCGTCTCCAGCGTGCGTGTTCGTGGATCTTTTTTTTTTTATTTTATTTGTCCTATGTAGACACTGCCATCTAACTTAGTGTGTGTGCAAAAGGATGCTTTACACAGTTCAAGTAAGTACCCTTGTGCATTATTTTGGCGGTTTTTCAAGCGTCAAGCAGTTTGGTAGACCCTACGTAATGCCCCTTTGAAGTCTAACTTACAAGACATTTTGGTGTGTAGTATTGCTAACTCTAACTGTTTGTTCAACAAAAATTTGCATTTGGACTCGCCCTATGGGTTCGTCACCGATGCAGCGTACCTCTTAAAAATACTCAGCAATACTACACACCAAAATATTTAATAAGATATATGTTAACTGATAAGACAAGAAAATTGCGCTCTATTTCCTGGAATGGCACCAAACTTTAGAATTTTGAGACTTTTAACCTGTTACATTTTAGCGTGATGCCTCTTACCCATTTACGCTGTCGAGGTTGGAGTTCAGGCCCGTTTCTCGGTCGAGCGTAATTTTCCTCACTCTTATGCCCCTCCATGGGAAAGTTCCGACTGTGAACAATCATTTTCACATCAGAGCCCAAATAGTTGAGAAACAGACAATAAGAGTTGTTATCATACAGCTTCGGGCGTCCACGGTCGATATGGGCCAATTTCGTGTTCTGATTGGCTACTCGAGCAGGCAAGATGTGCCCATCTTGCGAGATTGCCCGCTTTGATCCTGTGCATGGAAAAAATCGCGTGGAGCGGACTTGCAAAGTTCATAGTTTTCGCTTAGTTGAGGCAATCAAGTCGCAAAAGGAAGAAGAACGGCAACAGTCAGAACAAAGAAAACATAGACAATTTTCGTGAGTTTATTTTTCTTCAGAAACCGGAGAATACAAAAAATTTGAAAACAAAGTGACATGAAAGCATGCATGGAAGCGGTTTTTTCTCATGGAAAACGTGACAGGAGAAGTAAGCATTATTCCCAAGCAAGAACTAGATTTCCTTTCGTTGTAATGCTCGTTGTAAGCTTACAAATCACTTTGTCCAAATCCAATTTGTTGCATAAAAAGCTTATAAGCGCCATCAAAGTTGGCTTTCATTCCCAATGCTTGAAAATAAACAAGTCATACTTGACTCTTGCTAAGTGAACTGTCTTTCCTATGTAATAAATCCCATATTGACCAAGCTCTTTCAGTCAAGACGACTGGATTTTAACCTCGTCCCTAACTTTTCTTCGACTTCGTCTCGGTCCATAAAAAAGAATTCGGTCAATATCGAGCCATCTTGACCTCACGCTTGGTCAATAACGGATATTTATTTGACAGTGTGCACGTCCTGCTTGTGTAATTGGACAATACGCGCCATGCGCGCGCGAAGTCTTTTATATCGGAAAACGAAGAACCAGTGGCTAGCTTGTTTCTAAAGTCTTGTCATAGTTTGATTATTTGATTACAGCACTTAGTGTCGTCCAATTCTGTCTTCAGTCAGAGATTAACAAATCGGACTCTCGATTCGCCGTCGTCCGATTTTGTTAATCACTCGTATGAGTAATCGTCATAGGACTGAGTGGAGTCCAATTCGGTCTGTAATCATACGAGTGATAACAAAATCGGACGACCGCGCAACTGTTGTAAGTCTTATTACAACTTAATAATAAAAAATTACAATTTTCGAGAAAAGAAAACAATTTGCACAAAAAAACAGACAAAGGAGACATCAATTGTTCAATTGTTTGATTGGTTGATTTAAACTACAACTTTGAATGTGATTGGTTGATTTTAACTATAGCTATGAATGTAATTGGGTTATTGAAATGTCCAATAACAAACTGTCTGACAACAAACTGTCCGATAACAAATAAATTAGTGGAAAAACATTTAAGACTTCTTGTTTTTGTCAGAAATAGAGCATTTTTAAATGCCTTAGCGCAATAGCATCTAGTTTCGAGTAAGCCTTTGCTGTTTAAGAAAAATCATTCTCGTCGAAGTATTTTATGTCATTTTAGCTCATGCGCTAGTTTTGTTCCATTTTCCTTTCGAATACAAGCCGCTTGAACCTTTTCCCGTTCGACGAGCGCTCAAAAGGACTGCCGTCTATCCATAATGACTGCAGCCCGAAGAATCGCCTCCCATATGGTCTAGCGATGAGGATTCCTGGTTTTCACCCAGGCGGCCCGAGTTCGACTCTCGGCGAAACAGTTTTTTTTTCTCTCCTTCCTATGATTATTCACTGTTTCTCTGTTCGTAGTTTTTTTTCCATTTTATTTCATTTCATTAGTCCTTTTTACAGGCTACCGCCCAATTGATCCCGAAGTGATATCCGATAACATGGGGTGTAACTTTTATCCACATTTACAGCTAACGATATGTTTTTTTAAGTCTTTTGTAGAGGGTCTCAATGGGAGAGTGGTGCTTACAGCCAACGTTTAAATTTTGTAGCTTTTAACCCTGAAGGTTTGGTTATTGGGCTGTTTTACGGCTAATAACAATTAACCGCTTTTGAAACCCTCTGTATATAGAGGGCTAACGGATGAGCAAGGGAGAGGGCGTGCAAAAGGAAAATTTGCCCGATCGAATGTTCCAGCCGTCATATCATCACAGAGCATGTTCTACTGAGAAGGCCTCGAGCAGATAGAACGATACGTAAGCCTCGTCCATTTTTCAGCTAATTGCTACAGAAGGGCCGATTTTACTCTGAAAACACCACATTTGAAAAAGAATAACAAATCCACCGCTAGCGTTGGCACAGATGAGCTTGCCAAACTTATTATCTACAACTTAACACTTCACTTTTAAACAGGATAATGAGTATGGGTTGATGACAGCGAGACATGTGCCTTTTGTTCGAGAAGTGAAGCTAAGCCAATATCTGACAATGGAAAGTGATTTTTTCTTTCGACAAATTAGCTCGAATGAAAAGTTAAGGCACGACAGTGACAGGTACCCGGTGGGATAAGCACGTCTCTTAGCTTGAACGAGTCAAGGTCAGCTTTGATATTTACCAAGTTCATTGTCACAAAAGTACCACTGGTTTGCATTAGAAAGTTTTCTTTGGCAATGCACTTGTAAAGAAAGCTTTCTGAAACCGAGACCAGCACAAAAAAATTGCTTAAGGAAACTTGTAAAGAAAGCTTTCTGAAACCAAGACTAGTACAAAAATAAAACTTCAAGACCAGAATTTCATAAAAAACTTAACACAAAGTTTATCAATAATGTATATCAAGTCAATAACACTAAAAATTTCAATTTGTGTAGTTGACAAGTTCTTCCTAGACAAGCCAAAACTGGCATCTAATGTTTTTCATCAACGAGCCTAGGCAGCCGACAATAACTGACATGAAAAAAAAAACGCTAGTGACAATGTGGCTCAAAATATATAATTGTTAATCTTTAACTCAAACTGAATCTGAAAGTAAAGAGGAGACATGTTCATTGTTTTATCTTCAAGCTAAACAAATAAACTTAAATGAAATAAGAAAACCTTGAAGTAGGGCCAATGCCTTATATTTTAAGGTTAGCTTTTTTTGCATTAACTAATTTCTAAAGCATTTCGTCATGTTTCTCATATTTACGGTTTCATCTATACTTCAAAGAAACTTCACTCAATCTTTCCAGAACTTAGAATTCGAAGCTGGTTTTTGTTTTGCTCCTCACC